TATATATGTGTCACACGTAGTTATACTATATTATATACAAGTAGTAATACTTCTTACTATATATATATATATATATATATATATATATATACACTATATTTTGTATATTCTAAAATTAAATTGCCAAGTGGAATTTATAGATTTGAAGTTCTATATAAATATATCATCAGGCCACGCTGTCCTTGAACTAAAAGTTATTACTTTGTCTCCTTTCAGAATTGTTAAACCTTTATCAATAGCTTAAATGCTTAATAAATATAAGTTGTTGGTGTTTTCTGCTTAGTGCTATCTACTATTTTGAAGGGTTTTTTAAATTTTAGTTGGACATGTCTAAATGTCATACAAGTTAACTACTTGAATTTTAATGTTTGTTAAAAAGCAGTAGCAGCCTGCTGCTTATAGTAATCACAGTATACTCACAAGATTTCAGATGTGTCCGTGATATCACTTGTGCAGCATGTGTAACATACCAAAACATGTTTAATGTATTCCCAGTGCAACCACAGATACTTCTCTTTCAAAGCCATTGACAGCTACTTAACATGAGACAGATGTTAATATAAACTGGTTGTCACTATATTTCACAACTGTTGTGACATTTGGATTTATGAGGGCCCTTTTCACAATGAAGACAGAGTACAAAAACTGTTTTCACAAGTAATGTTTTTATTTTCAAGACCATACAAGATACATACCTCAGTATGTTAATATAAATTGGTGGTCACTATATTTCACAACTGTTGTGACATTTGGATTTATGAGGGCCCTTTTCACAATGAAGACAAAGTACAAAAACTGTTTTCATAAGTAATGTTTTTATTTTCAAGACCATACAAGATACATACCTCAGTATGTTAATATAAATTGGTGGTCACTATATATCACAACTGTTGTGATATTTGGATTTATGAGGGCCCTTTTCACAATGAAGACAAAGTACAAAAACTGTTTTCACAAGTAATGTTTTATTTTCAAGACATTACAAGATACATACCTGCTTTTAGCACACATACCAACTTATTAATGATAAGTCCACGTGGTAAAACATCAGGATCATTGATAATTCACAGTTTATAAGCCAGTAAAAACACTTACCAAAAACAGTATGGTTCATCATACATTAAATATAAATATAAACATTATTACACAAGACAGATGTTATATTGAAGCAAAAAAGTAAGTAACCTTGCAATATTATTAGTGATATTTTATATACTTCCATAATGAAGGAATTTTTTCTTTTCAGTACAAAAAATAAACTTAATTGAAAGCTATGTTAGAATGCTTTTCTTTTGGTTGTGTAAATAACACTCATTGTACATTTATATACATACATATATGTTTCTTTGCATGTTTAAAGTTTTAAAGTATTATTTAACCGTAGGGCTTACAAGAAGAATGTGGAAAACTACAATGCAGAGTCCAGGATCTGGAACAGCAGAACAAAGCTTTAACTGTCTTGTTTAAACGACAGGTATTTATATTCCAGAGTTCAATAGTTGAAAAGAAACAAAGACTAATTGATAGTACATCCATTAAACAAAAAATATTCTTAGAAGTTTCTTGAATAAATTAAAAACATATAACTGTTTCCACTTCTTACCAAGGAAACACAAGCATATACATTTTGAAACAATAAAGGTATAAAATAATTATTATTATTATTTTTTTTTTCTACAGAGTTTGGTTCCCAAGTGCTAGGAAAAATAATTATACTTAGGTCTGCGGTAGTTTTTTTTCTATTTATCATTTTGCAATTAAAATGTGTGTTTGTGTGTGTATATATATATGTGTGTGTGTGTGTGTGTATTTTAGCATATTTCTTTACCTTGCTGATATATTGGTAACTGAACTGCCGAATGGGGTTTTACGTTTTCCATAGAACTAGTAATTAATAGCACACTGAATTCATAAAATCATTTCAGTTAAACAAAGCCTGAACTGGCAATTATAGCAACCCCTTTTCTTGTTGAAGACTTCAAAAGTAAAAGGTTTGTCTTATGTATAAAACCTCCTCCTTTTATAGCTATATCATCAGGATTTGCTGCAGAAATCGTGTCCTACATCCACTACCTCACCTGATCAAGAAGACACTGTTGACATGATTTTAGCTGGCAGATTGCAGGTTAGTCCAATTCTTGCACTGTGTATTATTTAAATATATCTAGTTATGGCCATGATGTTTGATTAACATGCTATGTAGAAGCAGAGATAAGATAATGATTTGGTATTTTCACCTGTTGGTGAATTGGTTATTTAGATCAATAAGGCTAGAAGCGGAAATATAATATGATGATCTGGTATTTTCACCTGTTGGTGAATTGGTTATTTAGATCAATATGGCTAGAAGTGGATATAATATGATGATCTGGTACTTTCTTATGTTGGTGAATTAGTTACAGAGATCAATAAGACTACACTAGACATTGGTTATTGGGTGGCTTGTATGTCTTCTTGAGGATTGGACTGCTACTAACTGGAATTTTCTATCACCAGAAAAAAATTTTAAAGGTTTGGGCAAAACATTTAATATGGTTATACAAGATTTCAATTGCATTTTGAAGGTCAGTTTAGATTTATCCATTGAGATGTATATTAGTAGTTAAGTAATTCTTAATTGGAAGAAATGTGAGTATTCGCAGTTTGACAACAAAGTTGTTGTACTAAGTTAACCTTAAATCTATACATTATTAGATATAATACAAATGATTTCATGTTGTAAATTAATAGCCAATATATATAAGTTAAGCTATTTATTATTCTTAATAAGCTAACTCATGAGGGTTGATCATATGAGGTCCAAAATGTATATTAATTTACATTTATGTGTTTAATTTGACACATCCACTAGACATATTTGCGACACTAGATGTTTCTGTTAATTCAGCAATACTTTTAGCTTAACATCGTCTAGCACTTCATTATTATTTTGTGTACAATCCTAATTCCAGTCATTAAAATGTTTTTTTTACTCAACGTGAACCAAAATCTGTGTTATTCAACATCTTTTTTAGAAAAAGAGAAAGCAATATATCAAAAACTTTCTAAGTATAACAGTTATTAAAAATATAATATAAAGGTGTCAACAATATTATAAATGATTTAAAAATAATTTGTTAAAAAAATGTAATAGTCATTTTAAGATAGCATGTTTGAAAATAATATTTTGAACTGTGATATGAGCCACAGACATGTGGAGAATTTTATCTCAGCAATATAAACAATTCAGGTGTGCTTAGTCTAAATTGCTACATAACTAGCATTGTGCTTTATGAATTGCTAAAATGGCAGTTAGCACTAAGTCTAAACAATAAGTGAATGCTAATAAATTACTTACTTATGCAGATTTTTTCCATTCAGTGAGTTTCTGTAAGACTTTCTTGAGATGTGTATATTTTATAGTTTTAGCAACTGATTTCTAGAACTTATTGTGTAATTTCTGTTATTTATTCTGGGTCATAGTACTATTCTTATTTCTAGAAAACTAGTCTAACATAACACCACACCTTTACAAAAATTAATCAGCAAATGTTTATATAACATTGATTAGCATAAAACAATGTATAAATCAATAATTCCATAAAATGTATAAGTTGAATTTCATGGAAACTTGTCCATCATCATCCAACCCAACTGACAAGTTCTGGTATTGAAACAAAAAGGCCTTTTTGACAGTGACATGTTGGAAACAATAGATCGATCTGTAATGCTGCTTTTACCCAAACCTGGTTTAGAATTCAAAATGGACAAACAAAGAGGAATATAAAAAAAAAATATTGACAGCTTATGTGATTTAAGAATATTGTGTTAATTATTTTAAAAAATGTGTAAAACATAACTTAATTAGAAGTGCTTGATTAAAGTATTTTCAAAAGGTTTTTAATGTTAAATTGATATACTGATTATTAGCATACTTTAAATAAAAAAATATGTACCATAAGCATATGATTGAAAAAAAAATTGTCTCAGAATCAAAATTTGGTATTAATATTAACATTTACTTCTAGCAGGTAAACTCTGTTGCAGCTTTATATCAATTAAGTTGCTTCCAGGGTTATATATATATATATATATTTCTAAAATTTTTTTTTTCTTGTGCAGCACAGTAATAGTATTTTGTGGAAATTAAAGCCTAACATGTTTTTACATTCATGCTTTCATGTCACACTTTTACAAATTGTAATCAAAGAAGTAATACATAAACCAAGTAAACAAGTTTTGAGTATTTCTTGCATTAGTAAACTGCTTAGGATGATACATTATACAGATATTAACTTTTGATTTATCTTTATTTACATTATTATTTGAAATATGGCAGCAGTAAAGTAAATACAGTGCTTGTCTATGTTATATTGAAATGATTTTGGATCCTCACAGTGTCATTACAGTCCATATCACTGTGTCAATTTCTTTTCTGTCTGATGATCCTGCAGTGTAGATTCCATTGCCAAAGGCTCCTTTATAAGACTGTCATGTCCAAATCATAACACTCCATGCATTTCTTTGTTTTCCAATGCCATTAAGTACAAGGGTTATCCCTGTCTGTGAAATTCTAAATCTCTGATTTGAACACATCTTTATTATTTGAGTGTATGAACATTTTGAATTGTAAAGGGCTGTCATGTATCCTTCCCAAAAGTGATAGTTTTATTTTGCATCACACTACCCATGAAATGACAAACAAGTGAAAATGTAGTTGTGATACATGCTGCTTTTCTGCAGCTTTAATTTGTCTGTGGTTGTATCATGACTAGTTGATTTACGTGTTCAAAATTGTTTGAACATAATGTACTAAACCCTCTGTAATGAAATTTTAAATTTTTTGTCATAAAGGAACATCTCGAATTACATACAGCTTTAATAAAACATGTTTTTTTGGGGGTGGAGAGACTTAGCAAGGTAAATTAGATTACAGTGTGACATTTTATGGAAAATTTGGGGTTTTGCTCTCTAGAGCGTAAGAGTTTCAGTTGAGTAATAAATTCTAAGCAATTGATGCCATTTTAACAATATCAGTGTTTGTGCATGCTAGCAGGATTTTAACCAAGAGATGTGTAATAATGGTGTGACAATATTATATACATTTATGTTGTTTTTTTTTATATAGAATCTGGAGTTAGGACAATCTAATCAGAGCCCAAACAGGAGAACTGGTCGATTCTCGCCCAGCCGCACTAGTCGTTCTGAAGATAGTACAGACTCATTGGCTAGTATATGTAGTGACTACTCAGTCAAGAGTGGAAACAGTGGAAGAAACGTATGTATCTTAACTAAAAATAAGAGACTTAAAAATGGAATATACACCTAAATTCCAACCACCCTGGGACAATAGCTAACATTCAAATACTTACCAAATTTATTGGTTTTTCCTGGACTTTGTACAGAGCCATATCATAAACATTTTCTCCCACTGTTATTACTTTAGACAATTCTTGTTGCAACTACTGTTCTGTTAGTAAGCCAATAAATCCTCTCCCACTGTGTTCTTAGAATTGGTATTATGATAAAGTATATGAGAAAATTTTGGTAATTGCACCGCATGAGCTTATTTGCTGTTGACAGTGTCAGGTAAACATTCTAATGGCAGAATCAGTGATTCATTACTTTATGTTCAGTATGTTTCTACTTCAGACACCAATAGTAAAATAAAATAGATGTAAAAAGGTTAGAAGTAGAAACTCTCCGAAGTACTTTAGAACTGCTGAAGAAAAACATTTGATATTTATTTAGAATGTTTTAGAGATCTCACAAATGAAATTTTAGAATTTTCAGATTAAGAAAAATATTTTTAATGTTACATAAAAATCACTTTGCATCTGGAACAGTCGACATCCTGATTCCATATGTTCACGGACAAGCTTTTAGTAAAAATACTTAATTAAAAACTCTTGTCTACTAAAGACTTATAATGTTTACTAAAAGCTTTAGAAATTTTATGAAGACACAAAATGTGTCAAAAGTTATAGTGTGGAACTCTGATGGTTACATGATTCACATAATCCACTGAGGCAGTAGTGAAAGGATTATACTCTAAAAACAAAAACTCAAAGATGTACTGTTCAAGCGTCCTCTTAAACTTCTTTAAATTAATATCATCTACCTCATATGAAAACAACCTGTTCCAAAGGCCAACCGCCCTTATAGAAAAATAAAGCTGTCTTAGCTCAAGATGTCTATTACCTGCCAAAATTTGTATTTATGTCCCCTAGTCTTACAATTCTCACAATTAAATAAGATGAAAGATAATGCATCAAGACTATCAATTCCCTTAACAATCTTAAGCACTTCAATCAGATTCTGTTTAACTTTTTCTCAAGAGAAAACAATTTCAGAGATCTTAATCTGTCCACGTATGACAATCTTTCCATTCCAGGTATCATCCTAGTAGCCCTCCTTTGAACCTTTTCCAACATTCAATGTCCTTTCTAAGGTAAGGAGCCCACGATGAAACACAGCACTCCAAATGTGGTCTAACCCACGACCAATACAATGATATTATAACCTCTTCAGAATTGTATTCCACATTTCTGTAGATGCAATGTAAAATCCTATTTGCCCTGCCACAAACAACAACACTGATCAACTAGAAGACAAAGATAATTTTCTTCCATAACACTGTCAAGGCTATTCCCATCAAAAGTATACTTATAATTGAAATTGTGATATTCCACATACATTATCTTGTATTTATTATAGATAAATGCCATCTGCCATTTATTCACCAAACTTGCCAAATACTCCAAATTCTTTTATAAAGCACTAGTATTCCTCATACAGTCAAAACATACAAAATATTAATATAATCAGCAACTTTAAATAATTCATTGAATTGCTTGTTTTAATTTAATAAACTGCATTTTTATGTTCTTTTATTCTAAATTTCAGATTTCTCTATGTTTTCCCAATATAACTTAAACCACAATTACATGAAATTTTAAACTTAGAATAAGAGAACTTAAAAATGCAGTTGATAAATTGAAAACAAGAGATTCAGCCTTGGCTGAAGATATGGCAACCTCTTCACATGTCATTGATTGGGACAATGTGAAATTACTTAAATTAGTGAATTTAAAGAATGAATTAAATATAAGAGTTGAGAAATTGTTAAAACAAAATGATGAGTTCGAATAGAGATTTAGGTGGTGCCACGGAAGTGAATTTTTGGAATTCTATGTTGTAAATAGCACCACTGTACATTATTCTAATTGTGCACATACATTTTCTCTAGAGTATAAATAAACCTCATGTGTTCTTCTTTGTATCTTGAAGATGGTAGATTATGTTGTCCACCTAAACATGTGGAGCATGTATTTTCTTTTAGTATTATATAAAGAAAGTTATTAAGCACATGGAACCATTGGTATTGTGATTTTATTGAGCTGAATTCTTTATCTCACTGTACAGTTTCTCATTAATTTCATCAGTTTCATCTGGTGTGTAGTAACAAGTTCCAACTAAATGCTTTTTTCTCTTATTACCAGTAACTGAAACTCAAACTGATTCAACGTCATTGCTATTAGCTTTGATATCCTAAATTTGAACATAATGTGACTCAATAACAATTATCAGGTATACTTTTGATGTTATCTTTCTTTCTAAAGAAATCAAAAGACCTAACTCCCGCGGAAAATTGTTCTTCCTCATATCATAGTGCCACCTCCAGCAGCTTATACTTTCAGGACAACATAAGCAGGGTCAAGTGCCTTCTCAATATGTTCACTCCTCCATCAGGACAGAGAAAGAAATGTACTCACCAGATCACATAACACATTTGTAGATAGATATTCATTGCCATAGTTTGTGTTCTGAGCACCACTGTTACTGTGCTTTCCAGATTCTATTAGAAATAAGTAGATTTTGTACTGGTCACCAGCTTATGTATATGTACTGATAATGTTCTTTGCTTTATTGTGGTGGGAAATAGTCAAATACTGATAACTATATTTTTAAAGGCATTCATTATTTAAGACAGACTGACATCTGTTGTACACCCCCTCCAGTTATTTTTCCCCCTTTTATCTGTCACCTAGGCTTCCAAGAGAACTTATATAACCTATTAAAGCTTATCTATTGAAAGTGGTCCTTTTTTTAGGAAATGATGTAATAAAACCTTTTGTTTTTTCAAACAACCTAAACTACATGTGTTATTATGTTTTCATAAAAATATGTTAAGAGCTGGACTTTGCAGAAGAGGAAAAAGTTATTTACTGTAAATAAATTTATAACATAAATCTGGTAAATTGGTAAGTATTCCTTGGGAAAAAATAAAAAAACCTAATTTGGTTCATGTTACAAAACTGGTTATTTGTCAAAAAATTAGCTATGAAAAGCTATATTTTTCTGGAAAATGAGAATATGAAAACCTATATTTTCATGTGACTGCCTCTCTCTTGTTTTTTGTAACTGAACTGAGAGGACTGGTCACCACCATTTGTCTGTGGCAGACATATTTTCTTTCAAGTCCCACTTTTGATAGACTGATTGACAGATGCTTTTGAACATCCAATCAAAGAAATAGTAAATAATCTATGTTAAAGACATTTTTGCAAGGTAGACATCCACTTTCATGTCCTTTTGAATATCATCAGAATCACTACCTTGCATTTGTAGTAATGTTCTATAAATGTGTACGAGTAAAATTAGAATGGCAAGTTAGTGCATGTAAAATGTTATAAACATGTTAATAAGGTAAAGTTAAGAAAAGTATGAAACTACGTGACAATTTTTTTCTTTTGCAATGAAGGTTTGTATAACAAGTGTCTCTAACATTGAAGAACATTATAAAAATCTTCAGATTTTATTGTTACAGGTTGTATCATATCCAGGACTTCCCAGAATGAGCTCGCCTCCTCAGTGGCTGCAAAACCATTCTTCTAAAATAGGATATATTGCAAAACCGTCAATTTCAAGTACAAGTGTTTTAGCAAAATCCTTGATAACAAGTACCACTCATGATCTTCATAATACATCTATGATGAAAGATTGGTCTGATCTCGTTCCCCAACCTTCATATCAAGACTGTTACAACAGAGACGAAGTTTGTAATTATGCTTTTCAGGCAGAACAGATGGAATTAAGAGAAATCCATAAACTTAAGTCTCGTGATGTTAAACATGTGTTAGAAGATAAAGCTCCGAAACTATTAAAGAGTGATATAGCAAATTCTAGTTTTTTATTGGATAATTGCAGAAATGAAATAGAGCAGGTGGAGTATAGTCAAAACAGTCAGAGGTTATGTGTTAATTCTGAGAGTCTTGATACCATAGAAACCCCCTCTGAAAATCATTTAACTTCAGAAAATATTCCTTATCTCTCTTATTCCCAGAAGTTAGTAGTACCAAAAGAGTACAATATTCAATACGTTTCAAATACAAGTCCTGGTGTACAAGTTACTGCTGCTCAAAATGCTGAACTTTATTGCAGCTCATCAATAAACAAATATACTTCTTGTCTTTCACATCTTCAGTATAATTATCCTGCTGTAATGTCTAGTAAGTTAGTCTCATCACATAATGATACCTATAAGTCAGAGCCTAGCATTCCACAACCCACTACCATAAATATAACTCCTCAGTTTCATTGTGATACTCCACACAGTTTTAGTTTCCCTGCCTTAGGATACACACTTAACAATACTTGTGGAAATGTTTATGAAGAAATGGATTTACCCACTTTCTTGACTGAAAAATCAAACAGATCAAGGTTTTCTGAAAGTTCAGAATACTTGGCTTCTCCAGGTAAAAACAGTCTCCTTGAAAATTGGTACACAGGTGGAAGTAGCTCAATGATAAATTACCTAGGAGAAGAATGCACCAATACTGTGATTCGAAGAGGTCAGGGAGACCGTGAGACAATAGGCAATACAGAATATTGTGGTGAGCTTGAAAATTCACACAATATCAACTTTTCAAGATTTAAAACAGAACTCCAATCTAACTCTTATGAACTTTCTTCAACTCCACACTTTCCATCTATAAAAAAATGTCTAAAGATTGACAAGGCATTAAAGCAAGATTCAAAAGCAATGGACCAACCAAACATAACCAATCGGACACCTGAGAAACAATGTTCCACGTCTTCCAGCACTGATATCGTATTAACAAAACATGGTGGAAAGGATGACGGTTATTCCACAATGTCCAGTGATGTACAAACAGAAATAAATGCAAACAAAACCTCATCTGAAATGAAACCAGACCCAGCAGTATACTCAGAATCAGGTCATCAAAACCCTGGAATCAGTACAGTAGATTTAGATTCCATAATGGTGTCATCATCTGACAGTGGTTTAGGATTACTCCAAGGTTCGCAGAGTCAAAGACATCTATCAGAAAACACCGAAGATGGATGTTTGGGTTTTGAACAAGACTCTGATAGTTTACAAATTCAAAGTGAAAAGCTTGTCTCCTCAGACAAGAATTCATCAATTAGACTTTCACCTAAAGGTGATGATGATGAAGATGGGGTGCATTTTGATAGTGGTCTTGGAGACTCACCCTTAATTCATCAATTCTCATCCTTCAGTGAACTAGATGAGAATTCTCCACAGTCTAACCAGTCACAATTTGACCCTAACAGTAATAAAATTCTACGTCTGCTTACACCTCAGGGATTTAAGGTTGGGAGAAACGATACAAGATGGGTAGCTATGTCAGACCAGTTATCTACAGCTTGCCAAGTTGAAACTGCAGAAAAAGCTACTTCAATTGACCTGCAATATTTAGCAGTGGATCTTCTTAGCGACAGTAGTTTCTCTGTGTCTTCTATTGGAAGTGATAGTCGATCCATAACATCAAAAGGTCAGGTGATGAAAAAAGAAAAGAAGTTAGTACACAGAGAAACTCAGGTAGAACTTAACCAATCTTCTGGTTCAGATTCTTCTTTTGGAACTCAAAACAGATGTACCAGTCAAAAAGAAACAAATTGTATTTCTAGTACAGAAGAAGAATGTATTCAGAAAGCACATGGCAAAAATAATAACTATCAAAATTCACACTGCAACTTATATCCAATTTCTAATTATTTTCAAAATTGTTTTTATCAGAAATGTCACCAAACCTGTTTAGAATGGCTTGTAGACCCAGTAGAACTCAGTTTTTCCAACATAAAAAGAGTTGCTTCGGACACATGCCTTTATGTCAAAGATCAGGCTGAGAGCATTCTGCAAGATCTTAAGAAGTTAGCTTTCGTTGATGGTCAAGAAAGGCTAAACTTCCGGCCACTTGAACGACACATGTCTGCTCAGAATATTTTTCGATCTCCTCCAGTCACTTCCTCACGTTTCCTGCCAGCTTTACAATGTCGAGTTTTGGTGAACCAAGGACAAGGTAACATGCAAGACAACGATCAGCTGATTTCTGCAGAAAAAGTGAGTGACTAAGCATTTTTTTTAAATACTTTTTAACTGGCTTTAATTTAATGAATGTAGTTACTTCATTTTTATTAAGTTTAAAAAGAAAATGATAGAAACATCTGTCACTGATACTTTAGCTATAACTATCACATTTCAGGTGATTTAGCTTACATTTGTCTCCTGCTGGCTCAACAGTAATCTTAAGGGATTATATACTAAAATCAATGTTTAGATTTCATTTTTTAGGAAAGTATTAAGACTAACTTATTCACTCTTACTAATTTCATAACTCCTCGTGAGCAAACATTTTTTACATCAGGGGAACTAAAAGTTTTCACCCAATTGAATGTTTTAGTAAAATATTGCATCCAATATTTATGATGTCAAAAATTTACAAGAAACTACTATAGTGCTAACTATAAGTATTGTTTATCGTCACATATATTACTGTTGTAGGTTTGTTTTACAGTGTATAATAATTGCAAGAAACCATTGCCTGCTATCAGCCATGACTGTTGTCAGATAAAGCATTACTGTATTTTGGTTTGCTGGTAATTTTTACAAAATATTTATTTTATAGAGAAAAGCATTGTTAGAAAGGCTTCTAAATGTATAACTTTGTGGAAGTTAACTAACATTAGACCTACTTTATAGAGAGAGAAAGTGTATTAGTTGCTTTTCACCTTCTCTGTTAAACTATAAATTCTCAAACTAATAAATATACTTGTAATACATCTGTAATGTGCCATTAAGGCTTAAGAGAATAATAATACACTGATAAGAATTCAGTAGTTTAAAAGTAATGTAATATCAAGATTTAAAATAGAAACAGTTATTTTCTGGTTTATGTGATTGCACTATGAAGATACTGATGAAAAATAAATAAAAATATTCTTCTTACGTAACTTTGACATAATTATAGAATATTGATAGAAACAATAAACACAGAAAGAACAAAAAACAACTTCCTAATTAGTTTCCCATAAATAAGAAATACTGCAACAGAAGGTTAGGTGATCTCACTATTGTACTAGAACAGAAAGTATCCCATGTAAGGTGATCTCACTATTGTACTAGAACAGAAAGTATCCTATGTAAGGTGATCTCACTATTGTACTAGAACACAAAGTATCCCATGTAAGGTGATCTCACTATTGTACTAGAACACAAAGTATCCCATGTAAGGTGATCTCACTATTGTACTAGAACACAAAGTATCCCAAGTATGGTGATCTAACTATTGTACTAGAACAGAAAGTATTCCATGTAAGGTGATCTCACTATTGTACTAGAACAGAAAGCATCCCATGTAAGGTGATCTCACTACTGTACTAGAACACAAATCATACCATGTAAGGTGATCTCACTATTGTACTAGAACACAAAGTATCCCATGTAAGGTGATCTCACTACTGTACTAGAACACAAAGCATCCCATGTAAGGTGATTTCACTATTGTACTAGAACACAATACAATAGTGAGATCACTTTACATGGGATACTTTCTGTTCTAGTACAATAGTGAGATCACCTTACATGGGATACTTTCTGTTCTAATACAATAGTGAGATCACCTTACATGGGATACTTTCTGTTCTAGTACAATAGTGAGATCACCTTACATGGGATACTTTCTGTTCTAGTACAATAGTGAGATCACCTTACTTGGGATACTTTCTGTTCTAGTACAATAGTGAGATCACCTTACTTGGGATACTTTCTGTTCTAGTACAAAACTGAGAATCATTAAAGTGGAAAAAAACTTATTTTTTCCTCTTAGCATGGTCAGCAATGGAACAAGCATGAACATGTACCCACACTTAGTGCATCTCTTACCTCTGTTCAGTCATCTGACTCAGAACATTGTAGCTGTGAAGAGTATGAGAAGCTTGGTGCAACTAGTTTAAAGTGCTCAAGAGTTTGTAATATTTTTGATTATGTCATACATTATACAGAGTCGTAAACACATAATGAAAATTTAGCTCAAAACATTTTTTCTAACAAATTTGTTTCACCTTCACATTTTACTCAAACTACTGTGGTATATGTACGTATACTGTTAATTTGATCAGTTTGAACTATATTCTGGTTATATTTGAAGATATTTAGTATTGAGAAAGCCAGGAAGTTAGTTGTATAGTTTAGTCTCACTCACAAAATATTCTACATAACTGATGTTTTTGTCATAAAACTAAGATAATATTTATAAAAAATGATTATCTCATGTTTCTGTTGTTTCTAAATCTAGCTGTGGAAAAAAATGTTTTATGTACATATGCATTATCTGAATGAATATAAAGGCAAAAAGACGTGATTTATTTATGTGAAAAGTTGAGTTTAACTGTTCCAGTAATGATTATTAAGCCAGTACTTGGTGTAGAAATTACATCCATCTTGTTTGCTGTAACTGTATTATTTTACACCTTGTCAAGGATTACGACTTGAGTTCTGGAAGTGAGGATGAGTGTTATTTACGTGACCATCAGGATTTTGTTCATCAGTGGCTCCAGCAAGATTGCTCCCAGCTACAAGAATCAATTAAGGTATTTTCTTTTTTTCTGTTTTAACATTTGTTATTTTGTTTCACTGATAAATTTTATTTATTTCTTCCTCTGATTATTGAATACGAGTTGCAGGAAGTGGTTCTGCTATGTTTCTTTTCTTTTTAACTGTATTATAAACTGTAAGTTTGTTTTCGGTAGAAAAAATGCAAGTTTGATTTTTGAATTGTGTGTTTTTTGAAATATTGTTTTAAACAAAATTTACTTCAAAAAATGAAAATGGCATGAAATTATGAATGTTTTAAAATTTCTTACATACTTAGAATTGAAGGTTTTAAATAACTTGATAAGTTTTAGAAAACATTGTTTTAACTAATCTTTATGAATTATGGTTTAAAAGATGTTTATGTTAGCAAAAGCATGTGTTTTAAATGCTAAGAAATTGTTTTGAACTATCACTATCAGGATATTCAAATTTTGTTTATGGAGGAGATATTATAATTTGTCTAAAATTGATGTATGCTTTATAATTTAATAATCATTTTTTAAGGTAAATCATTGAAACATAGTTTTGAAAGTGAATAGTATAAAATTAGTTTATATATGATATTATAGTAAGGTATCACCTTTAATTTTAGGATGTGTATACAGATAATGAAGAAATTGGCAAATGGACTTTTCAGTTGTCCTTGGAGGATGTCACTCAACCTGTTAATAAGTTTTGTGATAGTTGGTTTCAAATTCCTCTTTTCAAGGAACCCAGAAGGGAAACGTATCAAGGAAGAATACAAAAAGAAACCATTGCAGATGATCATTTCTTGAAAGATGCATGGAATTATGCTCTATTGTCAAGTGGTGTTTCTCAGCAAACAATACTTACGTCATTAGCTACATCTAAAAACAGCAGTGCTCCCAAACTGACCAACACTCCAAAACTGAAAGAAATTAATGAAGATATCATCAATTTCTCTTGTAATTATAAAAATATTAAAGACTCTTTGCAAAATATTTCACAAAGTACTAAGAAGTTTGGAGTTTTGTTTAATGGACATATCAATAGGAATGTGGACTCTTCAATGATTTTTCCAAGTTTTTCACTTCCAAATCTAAAATTTATCTTTTCAGACAGTTCTGAAAACCATCAACAAAACAAAACTGACAAATTAAGTGAATCTGAGCATTGTTTTTTTACTTATAAAGAAGAAATACAAGAGAGAGAACCTGATGGTGATGTAAATAAAGAAGAAAGGTATAATAACCAAAATTTGCACACTAACACTACAGAATTTATTAAGGACTTTTACAGATTGTATCCTCTGAGATCAATTAAAAGTCTGAGAGATTGTCCCAAAAGTTTACCTACATCTGAACAACCTAGCTCTTCAGAACAATTATTACAAAAACAGCCCACTAAAGATTTAAATGATTCTATATCCAAATTGCCCCTACAAAAACAGTCATCTAAAAATATAGATGATTTCTGTTCCAACTTGCTGCTACAAGAACAGTCCACTAAAGGTCTAGGTGATACTCTATCCAACTTGTCACAGCAAAAACAGTTCAGTAAAGATCTAGATGATTCTGTATCCAACTTATTGCAACAAAAACAGTTATCCAACCTGTCAGTTCAGAAACAGTCCATTGAAGATCTAGATACAATTGCTAAAACTGTTCCATTGCAAAATGTTGAATATGCATCTCATTCCAATAAAGATACTTCCATAGGAATAGAGAAAGATAAAGGCTATTCTGATTGTAGCTGCACAAAAATAACACCTTTAGAAACAGAAAACATAAAAAGGACAAAAACATCGTCACTGAAGGTAAAGGAACTGAAAGATTGTCTGCTTACAAAAGGAAATAATTCTGAAAATGTATCTAAAAAACAGCACAAGATTCCTACACAAAACCCCACAAGTGAAGCTGTTCCCAAGGATACAGATGCTCAGAGTCTTATCAGTGCCAAGGAGAAATTACTTAGACATGATAAAACTAAAATTCCAGTAAAATTTAAAAGTCCAGCTTATGAAAAAAGTCACAAAGATATTAGTTCAGTCATTCGTAATAATTCCTTTGCAAAACAAGATGTTCATAAAAGACAGAATATAAAGGCAAAAGATATCAGTATCAAGAAGTCGCAGTCTTCACAACAAATATTGAAAAACATCAGACGATCTCATCATCAATTGAGTGACAATGCAAGAAAAGATGGCAATGTGGAAAGTGGCAGGCCTCTTAAGAAATCTTATCATAATGAAAGAGAGATGGAAAAAGAAAGAAAAGATCAAAGGGTGTTTTTAAAAGAGAAAACAATAAGTGAGACTAACACAAATAGAAAAGATATGCATGGAAGATTGCGACACAGTAAACAATCTGTTGGAAAAGAATTTCAGCCAAAGAAAGAGCAAGAAAAGAGACAATTGGATAATTTCAAGGAATTGCCACTACCAAAAAATTCTGTAACATTGAACTTGGAAGAGGTGTTGAACTTAACTGTGGCAGATAAAATCCAGCATTTTAGCACTCTTCTTGCACAGACTGAGAAAGAAAGATTATCTCTTATTCTTCAGTCTGAGATACAATGTCCAAAAACATTTCAAGAACACTTTAGTACAGAATCTTCATTTGGAAGAGAGATTAATGCTTGTAATCAACAAAAAGAAGAATCACAAAATTCAGGGAATAAAGAAGGCTGTGAAACATCATGGATTCATGTAGAAGCTGATGTTGACCTCAGTGACCCCAAGGTAAAACATATTATTATAGTATTTTGGTACACTTGTGTATAAAAGTTAAAATCATAAATAATATTCAACGTTAAACTGGTACACAATTAAAAACATTTACTTTAGGCCT